GAAAACAGTGGTTCATGCAGAAAAAGGATGTTTGTAAACATCCACTCCATAAAACAATGTATTCTTCATAACTGAGACATGTCCATAAGGACAGTGTCTTGTACTAGTAACCTGATCGCTAAAGAATCTGTCATAGGCAGGCCCGTAGCCAGGATTTTGTTTTTTTGGGGGGGGGGCTGAGTTTGGTTGGGGGGGCTGAGTCTGAGTGAAAGTGGGTCTACCCTAGCAAACCTTTTGTATCGTTACCCCAATACCCCCATGCATATGGGATATATTGAGTATGGTGATCAGATCATGATATGAATAAACATAACAGTTTAAATAATGCACCAGTAAGGCCTTTTCGCAACCACCATGAGAATTTCGGGGGGGGAGCTGAAGCCCCTCAAGACCCCCCCCCCCCCCCCCCGCTACATGCCTGCTGTATTGTGTCCAAATTTGGTGTCAATTCATCCAGTGGTTTTTGAGTTCTGTTAATCCCACCAACTAACATTACATTTTTATTTATATAGATTATTAGTAATATTACATGTAATATAAAATATATAATTATAATACTGTATTATTATTATTATTAGTAGTAGTAGTATTATATTGTATTACATTATATTATAAATATTATATGTATGTACAATATATTATATATACACAGAGTATCTCAAAATATGTATACACTTATATGATGTAACTGTGTGTGTGCATGTCTATATAAAAACACAGACATACAGAGAGAGAGAGAAAGGTAGCAGCAGAGGTTCAAAAACCCTTTTCCTGCGGGGAAGAGAATGGCATTGCAATCCAATGGAGGCTCAAGCAGGGGGAAAGAATAGCGGGAAGCCTCAGAAAAAAGGAGGGGGAAGTGGAAGGAGAAGAGAGGAGGGGGCTCCCTCTCCGCCGAGTCCGCGCTGTACTTTCCCTTCCTCGCTCCTCGCACGTCCACCACCCCGCCTCCTCCTCCTCCTTCCTCCTGCTTTTCCCTTTTCCCTGAGCTTCCAAAACTGATCCGCGCGTCCCCTTTAAGACCTCGCGCATGCGCCTTCACGCTCTTTTTCATCTCTTGCGCTTAAAAAAAAAGAAAGAAACAGAGAGAGAGAGAGCCAGAGCAGTGGAGAGTGTACAGGCGCGCGAGGGGAAAAAAAACAAAAAAACAGCGAAATAGGCGTGGCCTCGAGATGACGTCATGCCTATCTCTGCGTGTGTGTAGTAGAGAGAGCGACGGTTGGAGAGCTGAGGGAGGGCGTGGCAAAAGCGGCGCGCGCGAAGAGGCGTGGCCTCAAGATGACGTCATGCCTATCTCTGCGTGTGCGTAGAGAAAGCGACGGTTGGAGAGRTGAGGGAGGGCGCGCGCGCGTGCGGGAGGCAAAAGCGGCGCGCGCGTCGCACCAACCGCTCCTTTCCTTTCTCCCCTCCCTCCGCGCGTGCGCGAGGTGTCGCGCGCCCTCGCCTTCCCTTCCTCCTGCGCCTGCGCAAAAAGGCCCGAGCCTGCCTTTTCCCCCCCCRCCCTCCTCAAAGCCGCTGACGCGGGAGCAGCAGCAGCAGCAGCAGTAGAGCCTCCCGCTTGCTTGCCTCAGCCCTAAGGAAAAGCAAGGGCTTATTATGGGCTGCCACTGAGCCAAGATGGAGCTGTCTGCAGTGGGCGAGCGGGTCTTCGCGGCCGAATCCATCATCAAGCGGCGAGTCCGAAAGGTGAGCCGGGTTTGGCTTGGGCTTGGTATGGGGCTCGCTGCTGCCGTCGCCACTTTGCTAACCTGCCCCCCCTTCTTTCTTCCCCCCCCCCCCGGTTTCCTTCCTTCCCTCACCGCCTCCCGCCAAATTCCCCGTATTTTGCAGGGACGCATCGAGTACCTGGTGAAGTGGAAAGGCTGGGCCATCAAGTGAGTCCTCTCAACCTGTCTGTCTTTTCTGTCTCTCTCTCGGGTGTCTGTCTGTCTGCCCTCTTTCCCGCCTCCTCGGGGTGCCTTTTCGCCCCTTTCTGGCTGCATCTCCCACTGAAGAGGGAATGCCTTCTGACACCCCTTGAAACGACCATGGCTCAGTGCTGTGGGATCATGGGGAGTACAGTTTCCCTCTGCCTCACCAAACTACAACTCCCAGGATCCCACAGCATTGTGACAGGGGTGTCAAACAGCACTCATTCTAATCTACAATATATCCAGGCCTGGGCCAATTTGGGCCCTCTCTTCAAGTGTTTTGGACTTCAACTCCCATCATTCCTAACAGCCTCAGGCCCCTTCCTTTTCCCCCTCAGCCGCTTAAGCCTGAGGCTGTTAGGAATGATGGGAGTTGAAGTCCAAAACACCTAGAGAGAGGGCCCAAATTGGTCTATGCCTAATGTAGCCTAAGTTGCTCTCCTTTCCCAGAAAGAGCTCTCGCGAATTAAAAGGAGCTGACATAACACACAACAATTAAAACTTGTGCACCAGTTGTGCCCATATCTTGGGAAGTCTAACTTGGCCACCGTGGTCCACACTCTGATTACATCCCACTTAGTTTACTGCAATGTGTTCTATGTGGAGTTGCCTTTGAAGACTGCTCAGAAACTTGCCAACACCGTGAACAACACTGAGTCCCCTTTAGGGTTGAGAAGGGCGGTATACAAATATACAAATATTGCTGACATAACAACCAACAATTAAAACTTGTGCACCAGTTGTGCCCATATCTTGGGAAGTCTAACTTGTCCACCATGATCCACGCTCTGGTTATATCCCACTTAGTTTACTGCAACGTGTGTAAACTAAAGAGTATTCAGAAGCTTGCCAACACTGTGAACCGCCCTGAGTCCCCTTTCGGGTTGAGAAGGGCGGTATATAAATACCGCTAATAATAATAATAATAATAATAATAATAATAATAATAATAATAAGCTTTAACCGGTCCAACAGGCAGCAGTCAGGTTGCTCACCGGAGCAGCGTACAGGGAGTGTACCACCCCCCCTGCTGTGTCAGCTCCACTGGCTGCCAGTCTGTTACCGAGCACAATTCAAAGTGCTGGCTTTAGCCCAGGGGTCCGCAAACTTTTTAAACATAGGGCCGGATCACAGTCCATCAAACTGTTGGAGGGCCGAATTGTAATTTGAAAAAAGCATGAATGAATTCCTATGAACCCTGCACATATCTTATTTGTAGTGCAAAAAACACTTAAAAACAATACAATAATTAAAATGAAGAACAATTTTAACAAATATAAACTTACTAGTATTTCAATGGGAAGTGTGGGCGTGCTTTTGGCTGATGAGATAGGGTGGTTGTTGTGTGCTTTCAAGTTGTTTCAGACTTAGGTTCACCCTGAGTAAGGGACGGGTAAATGACCTTTGAGGGCCGTATCTGGCCCTCGGGCCTTAGTTTGAGGACCCCTGCTTTAGCCTATAAAGCCCTAAATGGTTCCAGTCCAGCCTTCCTGTCCCAACGTATCTCCCCCTATGAACCATCTCGGAGGTTAAGATCACCTCTGGAGGCCCTGTTCTCGGTCTCATCGCAAGTGCACCTTCATCGCAAGTGCAGTTGGTGGGGACGAGAGACAGGGCCTTCTTAGTGGTGGCCCCTCGGTTGTGGAACTCCCTTCCTATCGATATCAAGACAGCCCCCTCCCTCCTCTTGTTTAGAAAGAGTCAAAACCTGGCTCTGGGAGCAGGCGTTTGAAAGATTGAGCACCGCAGGAATATTTATTATGAAAATGTGTATTGACCTCGGAATGGCACTGACTCTGACACTGGATGACGTGATTTATTGAATGTATTTTTAAACTATGATTATTATATTCAATTTATAATTTATGCTTTTAACTGATGTTTGTATGTTTTAAAGCACCATGGTAGTGCAATTGTAAGCCGCCTAGAGTCCCCCTTGGGGTAGAGAAAGGCGAAGTATAAATAAAGCAAATAAACATTGGGGTTAGCACTTTTAAGGCCATGTAATAATATTTGTTTACCTGAGCCCCTCCTGTTTACCCAGAGGGATCCAGGACAATTATTTATTTACTATAGTTATATCTCGCCTTTCTCTATCCTCAAGACATCTTACAGATAGGCAACAATCCAATGCCTTAACAACAATGTACAATTAAAATAAACATTTACATCAGTGGTTCCCAATCTTTTTTTGACCAGGGACCACTCTCCAACATTAATACCAAAAGGATTACAAATCAGTTTTTGGTCAACTTTAGATTCAGTTTGGTTATTTGGGGTGCTGATTCAGAAAATTACATTGGATAGACCATATCATATGCCATAGTCAGCGCCAGGGAAAGAGTGGCGGGTGGCACAAAAGGAGCAGAAATAAAATAAATAAAACAAATAAATAAATAAAGACGGAGGAGGCTCGAGGACCAGGTTTTCATCCTTGTGACCCACTGGTGGTTTGCAGCCCACAGGTTAAGAATGACTTATTTACTATATTTATATCCCACTTTTCTCCACTCCAAGGAGAATTCAAGGCGGCTTACAGATAGGCAACAATTCAACGCCTTAACAACAATGTGGAATTAAAATAAACATTTAAATTAGATCAAGATCAAAATTGAAAATATATTAAAACATTAAAAAAAAACATTTAACAGTCACCATAAAATCATGCTATTCACAAACATAATCCAGGTAATTCCTGGTAGTCATTGCACAAAATTCCAATATGTCTATTGCGCTATAGGTCTTTTCCCTCTCTTTGAAACCTTAGAAGAGATGAGTGTTAGAGTATCTCAGACCCAGTTCTTGATTATTAAGAAATTTATTTATTATTGTAAGTAAACCTTTTGTGATTTTTAAGACTGGACTCTGCATCTTTGCCTGCCTAAGCTCTGAATTCTTACAGCCATAACCAACAGCACTTCATGCTCTGCTCGCTAATGAGCTGAATCCTCAACTTTAAGTATCCTGTTTGATTTTTGGATGCTCTGCTGTATGTTTAAGGGTGGTTAGAATTACAAGACTTAATTTTACAAGGCCTTTCTTTAGCTTTCTAAAGAAATCACAGAGTGCTGGACAACACCTGACCCAAGGTATGGGAAGGCCCCTCTTGCCCCTATTCATTTGTCCAGACTGTCCAGGCCATATTTCTTTAGCAGTCACAACTCGGCATGCAAGAAGACAATTAGGGGCCCTTCCACACAGTCATATAACCCAGGATATCAAGACAGATAAGACACAACATTTGCATTGAACAGGATTATCTGAGTCCACACTGCCATATACAATCCAGTTCAATGTGCATTTTATACAGCTTTGTGGAAGGGGACTCAGATCAGATCATTTGTTCCCAATGGATTAAATCTAATTTTTCATAAAGATTTGTGTCTATCATAATAAAATGATTTCTTCTTCTTTTTCTTATCCATCTCACTCCATGGAAATTCCAGAAATTAGAGACATTTCAACAGTCATACAGGAGACATGGGGGAAGGGAAACCTTTAGTCTATACTAAACTAACTAACTGTTCCCCATTGAGGACTTGAGATTTGGGCAGTGTGGGGTTGAATGGCACTGAGCCACAGCAGTGAAAGTGGTCATTTTACAGTTTGGATGCTTTCTTTCTCCTCTCTTCGCCCCATCCTTCCTGAGCCTGCACTCATAACTCTCCCTTTCCCCCTCCTTTTAATTGTTCTCTTGTCCACCTTTTTAGGTACAGCACTTGGGAACCTGAAGAGAACATCCTCGATTCCCGTCTGATTGTAGCCTTTGAGCAAAAGTGAGTTTGAGATTGATTTTGGGAAGCAGTGGGGATAGGAGTTAGGAATTGCTGTGGTGGTGAGGTTAAAGTGCTCTTTAGTTTAAAAATTACAATGGCGTTGAGTGTCTCAGAGTTGACACCTTCTCTCTAAAAGTATGAAATCCCCTCCTTCTCCAGGGAGCGTGAACGTGAGCTGTATGGACCTAAGAAGAGAGGACCCAAACCTAAAACTTTCCTGCTGAAGGTAAGTATCACTTTAATAACTTGCCTTTCACCGTGATGTCATAACTTCAAAGGACTTAAATGTTCAGTAATGTTTGGAAGGAAATGGTCAGAGAGATTATCAATTTGACAATTATCACATAAAAGCATTGTTTTATTGTTTAAACATATTATGCCCTCCAACTCCCCTTTCCCCACAAACACCAAGAAAAAATGCCATGTAGCTGAATGTGAAATAATAATAATAATAATGTCTTCCCGAGGGGACTCAGAGCGGCTACAAGTAGCAAATATGGGTTAAATAATAACTGTAGCTTAGGTTCTTGTGGTTTTTTTCGGGCTATAGAGCCATGTTCTAGAGGCATTTCTCGGGCTATAGATATGGCTCTATAGCCCGAAAAAACCCACAAGAACCTAGTGATTCCAGCCATAAAAGCCTTCGACAATAAACTGTAGCTTACATCTTACTTTAAAAACATCCACCTAGAATGTAACAACTGCTGCTTTACTATGTTTTAATATTTACCAGTTCGTCAGAAATCCCCAGAGAAATCAATTTCACATGTTTGCACCACAAAGGCCATGTAAATTACTTGTTATTTATTTTAAAACAGGCCAGTTCTTTGATTCTTTTTTTCATACATGTGATTGATACTGATAGTTTAAAAAAATAGGGGAAAACTCTTTAAAAATTAATTTACGCTGCTGTCATGAAGGAAGCCCTGTGTCTCACACTCACCAGCTTAGCATAATTATTATTTATTTCTGGTATTTCTACCCCGTCACTTCTGTACCCCTGAGGGGGACTCAGGATGGCTTACAATAGGCACCGATATGATGTCGATACATGACAATCACAATAATAGAACCAAAATTGAACATAAGACATAATTAAAACAGTACATAAGAAATATTTAAAACAATAAAAAGCAGTAAAAACAGTCTCATTAGCTGTGTCGCTGTTCCAGTCAATGTCCATCTAAAGTGCTACTTACGTCTGCTGACCAAAAGCCTGGTCCCAAAACCACGATTTTATTTTTTTTCCTTAAAAGCCTGGAGGGAAAAAGGCGATATTATTTCATTTGGGAGTGTGTTCCATAGCGGGGGGCCACAGCCAAGAAGGCCGTATCTCTCGTCCCCGCCAGACACATTTGTGACACATATCAGGTTAATGAGTCATGTTATAGTGACTCCATTGAAGATCTTAGGCCCCTTACACACATCTGAATAAAATCCCACATTCTCTGCTTTGAACTGGAATATATGGCAGTGTGGAGACAGATAACCCAGTTCAAAGCGGATATTGTGGGATTTTCTGCCTGGATATTCTGGGTTATATGGCTGTGTGGAAGGGCCCCTAGACTCCAGGCAGCCTGTATGAGAGATGGTCTTTCACATACTCTAGTCCTAGGCTGTTCAGAGCTTTGTAGGTCAAATCCAGCACCTTGAGTTGAACTTGGGAATAAGTTGATAGCCAACACAGTTTGAACAAAACCAGTGTTACCTAAGTTGCTAAAATGCATGCCAGAGGGCCTGACTACTTTGTTTGCTCAGCTGTAATTTGTGAACCTCAAGGCAACTCCATGCAGAATATATTATACTAGTCAACTAAAGCAAGCATCACTATGGGACAATCTTCCATAGAAAGTGGCAGATGTGCTGCACTAGTGACACTTGGCAAAAACCGTGTTTTTTCATAAAGGTTTGTGAATATCATAATAAATTTTTTTCTTATTTTTTCTTATCTATCTCACTCTATTGATCATGGCAGGAAGCAAGAACATATTAATATACAATGCATGCCATCAGCTTCAAACACACAGCTTCAGTTTAAAATAACATACAAAATAAATACATGTTTTTAAAAAATGGTACTTGGTGTAAGACTCATAATTTAAAAATCATCTGGATAGGCCTGCCAGAGGAGACTGGTTTTTAAAGTTGTTCCAAGTCCAGAAACGTGTATGCAACGTATGGGGTAAATTAAACAGGAGGCAATCCCATAGCTAACTTGGACTGAAACTATGTAGGGCTTTAAAGGTAACAACCAGCACTTTGTTCCTTGTCCAGAAATGAATTGGCAGCCAGTGGAGTGATCTTAATATTGGTGTAATACGATCACTCTTAGTTGTGCCAATAGCCAATCTGGCTGCCATGTTTTGAACTAATTGAAGTTTATGAACTTGGTACAGACAAAGTCTAATGTACACTGTATTGCAGAAACCCAGCTTTGAGGTTACCGGCACTAGCATAATAATACCTGAGATTAATTTCAGTTAGCACTCTATTCCAAAATAGACTGTTAAACTGCCCCTCTTCTTAATGCAACACTCCTTTTTATACAAGAGGCAGAATGGGTTCATTACTATTGGCTTTCAGCTAAAACTTACTGATATGAATCTTAGAAAAAATACATGAACCTGGAATGCTGAGATGCTTTCTAAAGTTGGCCACTAAACCAGTCTACACACAGTATTATGAACAGCTGTGTCTGAGTACTTGTTGGCATATTGTTATTTTAAAACACATTGTTTCATATACAAACGAAAGAGAAACTTTATTGTAAAAAACATGTAAGAAGTAAAGTTTGTTTTAAAAACAACCCTGACATGTGTTTTCAGAACTGGAAAGTATTTTTCCTTTTTCTCACAAGTGAACAATGCTGGCACACATGACCATTTCTTCATTTTTTTTAAAAAATTGACAAAGTTTCTAGTTGCCAAATGAATTCTTTTGAAGACTGAATCCTACCCATTAGTTACTATATTACCAATTCTATTTTTTTAAAGTGTTCTTTTATCAATAGCTGGATGGTTGGTACCAGATGAAATAGGCCACCACCAGTTTGTTGGATTCAAATAGGAAAATAGTATTTTATATTACTGAAAAGGATAATAGTTAGTAAGAGGTAGTAGGGACTAGATATAGTTATTTGTATCCTGACAATGTTGACTTAAATATGTTTTAAAAAAAATAGTTTTGTGGCACTGTAAAGATTAAGTTCTATTTTCAACAAGCTTTCATGGGCCGCAGCCACTCCATCAAAATACATTTTAAATATGGTAGACAAATTAACTTGACATTATTTAACTTCTTCCTTTTATCCATGTCTTCTTTTCCCTTGGCATGCTATAATGGCATGCTTGTATGTGCCCTTTGCAATGAATAATTGCTGTTACATTCAAAGAATCTTACTGGTCACCATATTAATAATAAATGTAAAGGCGTCTGGATGTAAGCTAAGAAGAGTTAATTAAGTGGCCAGTAGCAAGCATAGTTTTCTGAGCTCATTGGGGATTTCCCATTATAATTTACAAGAACTAACTTATGATATTCAAAGAAATAGAGGGAAAGAAGCATGCTTTGACAGGTGATGCTTTCACCTTTTAGTTTTGCTTTTCATCTTCCATAATCCCATAACTGAGTTATATTTTTGGAAAGCTGTCCAATGTCTACTCTGAGCTAAGGGAAATTCTAATGATATAAACTGCAGTAGGAGAAAGAGAAAATTTGATCAATTTTCAAGGCAGACCATACTGATTCACTTTTAAAAAATAAGGATAACATTCTCATCTTCTGTGTTAGATTTAAGTGAAAATTCATCTAGGCCAGTGCAGGCATACTTATGTAGTAATGCCATTCCAGGTGGCATTCCAGTGGCAATTCCTATTGCTGTTCTGGCGTATGAGAGGGGGGAAGTAGCTGTGCTTATGCAGTAGACCTTGGCATTTCCTTTACAAGAGTTTAGAAAATGCAATTGACAATCTAACCTGCAATCATGTAAATGTAAAGCCCCAATAGGATTATGACTTTAGGCACACTTAAATTCCATTGATTTCAGTGATGCTGCAGTACCTATGACTAAATCTGAATCCAGCACTGTGCCTTTTCATATCATATCTGGAACCCATGCACACAGGATTGGAAACTATAGCAAGCTGATGTGTTTGGGCTAACTGTCTGTATTAGGGGTGAAGAACTATGGCTGTAGCCATCATAGCCAGTGGTACGAGCCCATGAGGATTGGAGTCTGTAAACATCTTAGGGGAGCACAGTTACCCACCCTGGTCTACACTGAAGGGCAGCTTCTCTCCAGTATTAGCAACAGAGATCTCTCATCTCCCAAATCAATCTGAATATGCAGGGGACTGAAACTGAAATGGTTTCTTATGCAAAGTTTGTGTACTCCCGCTAATCTACAGTCCTTCTTAAAAGGAGGAACAGACCTATGTAGTTGAGGGCTTATTTTGTCTGAAGTTTTTTTATAGAGTTTAAGGAAAATAGTTCATGCAACAGTGACCCAGTTCTTCAGCTGAATACTCTGTAACATTGAAGGGCATGGCCGTGCCTACTGGTATTGGTTGCCCAAGGAAGTCTGTGGGATGGCCAGCCATGGACTAGACCAGATGCAGAGTGATCATTCGGGGAAAAGTAGGGTGCCTTATCTGCATAGAGGGAGGAACCAACATCAGTCATTATTTCTGGTGATCTTGCCATACTGTCTTGTTCCATGGCTGAATAACACAATACTCTCATTACATTAAAGCTTTAGATGGCTGCCTATTGGGGCAAGTAAGTAAGTAGAACATGAAATGGAGCGCAAATATTTGCCTGCAGTTCTTATTATGAACACCAGATGGTGGGAAAGCTCATTGAACCCAACTGAACTAAGAAAAAAACAGGAGTAAATGCATTGTTTACCCTGATAGTTTGAATGCAAAAATTATGATTGGGTTCATTAGGCATTAACCCTTTCCCTTTAATGAAGATTTAGTCAGAGTATATTTGGTTTTGCTCTCTAGCCTTATGCAGTCAGATATTAATTTTAAAAGGATGAAATGTATAAAATAAAGTCAAATTCAAAAATATACTTTTATTATCAAATTAAAGAGGAGTTATACTGTTGAATGATATGTGGATTTACTCATGAATTGAATTTTGCTATTGGTTGTTGGTTTTGATGTTTGTTTTATATACTGTTTAATGTTGTTGTTTTATTTCATGTATATATATATATATTTATTTATTTATTTATTTATTTATTTATTTATTTGTTGATTTTAATGTCTTATGTTTTGACTATTCTGTTGGCCCTGGCCCCATGTAAGCCGCCCCAAGCCCTTTTGGGGAGATGGAGGCAGGGTATAAAAATAAAGTTATTATTATTATTTGAAACACAACAAGATGAGTCCACAGCAGACATTTTGCTGGCTGTTGAATTTGATTACACGTCGGACACTTCCCAAGTGTCTAGGACAGTGTGATGTATCGGCGAATAATGTGTGCAGATCCCAGTAAGGTGGCCTTCTGCAGCTGGCAGGTGGAAATTTTGTCAGCGCCGATTGTGTTTAAGTGCAGGCCAAGGTTTTTAGGCACTGCATCCAGTGTGCTGATCACCACTGGGACCACCTTTACTGGCTTGTGCCAGAGTCTTTGCAGTTCGATCTTTAAATCCTCATATTGTGTCAGCTTTTCCAGTTGTTTCTCTGCAATCCTGCTGTCACTTGGGATTGCAACATCTATGATCCATACTTTGTTTTTTAACACGATTGTGAGGTCAGGAGTATTATGCTCCAAAACTCTATCTGTCTGAATCTGATTATTATTATTATTATTAAAATGCTATATGAATATAAGAAAAATAACCATTATACACAAGCCTCATGTCCTTCACTACCTTATATTTTCTAAATAAGCAAAAACAAAACCAGTTGATTTGTGTAATGATTTTCTAAGAGAACTTAATTATATTTAAAGAAGAATGGGGAAAATAACTGTAATTATAAAGGTAATCTGTTGTCACCTAAACATTTGAAAAACATTGCAGCGTTATGGATATATCCCACTATTCTATTAGTGGAAGGTCAGGAAAAGTGTTATTTTAGAGAGAATTTCTGAGCTAGATTTGGCTGTTACTCTTCCAGAAAGAATTGCTCTTATGTCTAGTTTTGCTCCCACTGGTAGAGGCAGGGAGGCAGTATTGCTGATTCTTACCATCTCCTCTACAGCTGTTGCAGTTTGCCCCCTGGCCTGATAAATTTCCCATCATTTTGGAATTAGCGTCCATGAGGGAGTAGGGGATGGTGACTGGAGAATGGAATCATTGATCTCATTCCTATTTCTGACAGAGGAATTATTCTGCTGGATCAGAAGCCTTCTGTGAATGGAGAGAACTCTTCTGTTCATGGAAGGTTCACACTGCATCTACTCTAATGTTTCAAAATGATAAAATGCCATTACTTGTAAACACTACCCTGTACTCTTCCCTTGCAGCTAAATGGAATAATATTTTCTTCTAAACTAACTTTGCGTTTTCTGCTTTCCCCCATCCACTGCAGGCTCGGGCCCAGACAGAGGCCCTACATATTGGGGATGTACATTTTTCTGTTAAGCCTAGTTCCAGCACAGCCTCACCTAAGCTCCATTCCAGTGCTGCAGTGCACCGGCTGAAGAAGGACATTCGACGATGCCACCGTATGTCTCGACGTCCATTGCCCCGCCCAGATCCCCAGAGTAGTGGTGTGGGTGGGGGTACTGGCATACGTCCTCCTGTCTCTCCCTTTTCGGAGACAGTCCGCATCATCAACCGGAAAGTGAAGCCTCGTGAGCCGAAGCGCAGCCGCATCATACTCAACCTGAAGGTCATCGATAAAGGAGGGAAAGGAGCAGGTGGGGGAGGAAACTTGGCACGGTCCAAGATCCCATCACGAAATCGAGTCATTGGCAAGAGCAAGAAGTTTAGTGAGAGCATGCTTCGCAATCAGATCCGCCACATGAAATTTGGAGGCTTTCCTCTGTACAACAAGCCATCGGCTCCAGCTGCATCGTTGGAAGGGAAAATAGAGGCAGGAGGATCTCAAGGTGCTTCTTGTGGGGTCATTGCCTCGAATACATATGATGTCCGCAGTTCCAGCTCCTCTGACTGCCCTTCACCAGCTCCTCACTCCTCATCTGATCCAGATGATTCACCACCAAAGCTGCTTCCTGAGACGCTAAGCCCTGCCATTCCTGACTGGCGTGAGTCGGAGGTCCTTGATCTGTCAATTCCTCCTGAGTCTGCAGCCACTAGGAAGCGGTCTTCTTCAGGAGGAGGTGGAGGAAGTCAGATGCCATCATCTCCTTCTTCATCTGATCCAGAGCAAGAATCTGGTGATTGGCGTCCTGAAATGTCCCCTTGCTCTAATGTGGTGGTCACTGACGTCACCAGCAACCTCTTAACAGTCACCATCAAGGAATTCTGTAATCCTGAAGATTTTGAGAAGGTGGCGGCAGGTGGAGGTGGTGGCAGCAATGGTGCCGGTGGCAAATAAGTTGCATCTTTCGCTGGAATTGGGGAAGGGGATAGGACAGGGAGGCTCTTCTGCAAGTTCATGCATGGTGTGAATGCCTGTTTTCTTCTCTCTATTCCTTTTCAACCATTTTTTCCCTTTCTACTTGGAATTTAAGATGATAATGGAGGAATTGGATTAGATGTATGCTTGAAGTTCTCAGTTGTTACAGTTGGTAGGAGTTATAATGGGACACAAGGTTTCACTTTTCTCTACAAGGAGTGTATTGCACTTACTTTAGGATTGGCAAAAAAAGTTATGAATGAATCAGGGATATGTTTTTGCATGAGGATGTTGTTCAGTGAAACCAGCATCCATTAGCCACTCTTTATTTTACAGTTCTTTGCAGCTATAACCAAAAGTCGTTACCTTTCTTTTACATCTCTGACTTGGATACGATGGCTAGCATTGATTATACTCAAGGAAGAAGAAGCTCTTGGGGCCATTGTGGGAGAGATATGACAAAAGAGAAATCACACTGTTTAAGTAGGGCCTGCTACAGAATTTCTTGAGGGATTTATGTATACTAATTCTTCAGTGTCATCCAGGTACTCTTCCACTTTGCATAATATTAGGGGTGCTAAATCAGTTAATTGTAATAGTACTTGGATGTGTTCTCCCCTTCTCATCTGGTTCTTGCACATGGCACATGTTTGTTTTGGTCAAGTCAGAGCTTCTTCATCCTTTTTAAGCGGCCAGTCTTGTCCTATCATCTGCTGCCATTCCTTTTTCTTCTTTATAATGAGGCACCTGAGCTCCTTTCCTGAAATTCCCAATGAAAGGGGAATCCATATCTTTCATAATGGAGGGAAGATTATTTTTATATTGCATTGGTGAATTTGATTCCATTATCCTTTTTATGAGGTGATTGAACAAGCTTGCCATACTATCTTTATCTACACACATCTCTAGTTGAGTGTGATAGAAGAATATGAACATCTGCAATTTCCAGGATGTCAAACTGCCTCTACAATTGCCAACCAAAGGTGCTAAGAACCTGTTACAAATCTTACTATGTGTCTCTTAGATCTTGAGGTGTATGTATGGTGTACATGTGGATTATATGTTTGCCTCTTCCTCCCATCCACCTCCCACAATGCCTTGCTGTTCATGAATTCATTCTGACTGAAATTTAAACACCTTGTCTTGAAAGCAGATAATAGTGTGGTTTCTTTTCCTACCTTCCCTCCATCATCCATCAGGTGTTGATAACTATGAACTCATGTATTGGTGTCCAAGGTTTATTGCAGAAATGCAACCATTTCTGCAAGCTACTGCTTCATGGCTCTCTTGTCATGTTAGGTTGCAGCCTTGTTGCAAGATTTCCTCCCCCTCCTGTGTGCCTGTTCTTAGTGGCATCTGTGTGTGTGTCTCTGTATGTATGGTGTTACCTGTCATTCTCTTTGTAAAATTTGTTACACTGTTGGGGGACAAGGGTGTATTTGAGGTAATCATTCTTAAGGGCTTGCCTGCATGCTACACTTCACTGAAATAATCAAGTTCTTAACAACATCTATTTACTGTATTCCTTTTTGAACTTTCAAGGGCTTGCTTGGTGTGTTTTTGTTTGTTGTTTGTTTTAACAATGAGTTAATTATTTATCAATTTATGTAAAAGCTGGTGCTGCAAACATTTGTGGCTTTTGGTCCTTGATTGACATGTTTTGTTGTTTTTAAGTGACATTCTCTGGCCTTATTGTTTCACATTAGGAAGGAATTCCACTGTCCCTTCACTTTTCTTTCTGTTTTATGCTCTCCCACTTTTATTCAAATTACAAATTTCTTCAGTGACTTGGCAAAGTTCCACTTGACTTTGTGCTTAAAAAACTCCAGGACTTTGCCTAGTACAGGTCTGAAAGATGGTATGTGGTGATACATTATTAATAATGTTAAGTATAAGTGTTTATACATAGAGATGCCTAACAGAAGCAACATGTGTAATGTTAAACAGTGTGATTGTCTGCGACAGTTTGAGTATAATTGGTATCTAAGACATGAGATTCAAAGATGTTGCTATTCCTTTAGCCTATTGTACAACACCCTTTGTGTCTTTCTAAAAAATCTTTCAAAATCAGTGAAATCTCTATGATGTGTAGGGTTATGTACCTACACACATCTTTTACTGTTGTATCTGTCCAAGGCTTTCTGCAGATCCACATGTGCATGCTTTGGATAATTATTTGTTGTTTTTTGTGGGTTTGTTGAGGTGGGCTGTATCACTGCTTTGCCTTGAAATAAGTGGGAGGCTTACAGCTGTAGCTTCAGTAGTGGGTGGGCTGGGTGAAGATAGACATGTATAATGGGGGATCAGCAGGGAGACTTGTATTAAAGAGAAGACTTTAAGGGAGAAAAAATAGAATTATTTTATGAAGCTGCAAGAGAGGAACTATTATACTGGTGCATACTAGTCAATCGTGTTTTGAGATTGCTGGGTATGTTTGTGGTGTTTTATTTTTAATTTTGTCTAAGTAGACAAAAAGGAATTTAATAGGAAACCCCTAAAATAGTTTAGCACATGGGCCCTTGGCTGATTTATCCATCCCTGCTCCCTCCTGAACTTCCTGTCATTATGGTTTGTACAGAATAAGACTTTCATGTTCTTTTAAAAAGCAGTGCAAAATTGGCTGATTTAATTTAAGGTACTTCCAAGGGCATTGGGTCGACTCTTTTCTTCCTTTCAGTGATAGATAAAGGATATAGGTTAGGACACTTCTTTTGTTGGAGTTTGTACCAACATAAAAAGTATCCAGTATGAGGTTAAAAAAGCTGGGGGGGGGGGGAATTCACAGTGTGGTAAAGATAATTTCTTTTTAATGCTTCGTACTATTTTGACATGAAAGTAAAGGGATAAAATGCTTTTAGGAAGGAGGACAAAACACATGCCCAGCAGGAGTGTTTGATTATGGTTTCTATGTTATTCTGTACGTTCAGATGTGCACCACCTTCAGCACATTTGTGTTTTTAATGTGGTACATGATAAAAAGAAATTTATCTTTCCCGTAATACGTGAAATAGTCATGAGTGTAAATAAGGGCTGAAACCTATTCAGATAACAACAACTCCTTTGCCGTATCTAGTGTTTTTAACATAGTACCTATCAGAATGGTTGCTCTGAGGTTTTTAATTACTTCTGAACACCTTTCCAGGGGAAAAAAAACATCAGTTTCAAAGGGTTGGAAAAGGAACAAACAGGTGTGCCCACGGAATACTGGGTGGTTTTTTGTTTGTTTGTTTGTTTTTTGCCTTTTCCCCCTCCTTGTTGGATAACACCCTCCAAAAACTTAACAGTTACCATTCCGTTTAAGTGACAACCTTGTCCCTGACACAGTTTGACCACTAGAGAGTGATGGAGAGTTATCAATAGTAATTAAGCTATGTTTGATGCCTTGTATCTTTCCGAATGTTACCTCTCATGATGAGAGGATAAGAAACATGTAGATGCATTTGGTTGGAAAATGGCATGTGAATGGGGTGCGAGGGAACCAAGGGAATATTGTTTGTTTCTGTGCCATGTTTGTTGTCCTTTTTGTTCTTAGAGGAGAGTTTGGTGGAGGGGGAGGGGGGGAAGAGAAAAGACTAGTTTTGCAAAAAAGGAAAAAAGTAAAGAAAAGTTTTTCTAAAAAAAGGTAATGAGATTTTTACAGACAGAGGAGGATAGAGAATTTAAAAATATTAAATGCAGTGATTGCACAAACTGTAGTGATATTAGCTGGTCCTTAAAGAAGAGAGTATTTTTAGTATTTGTGTGTGATGGGGAGGGTGGCATTCAGATAACTGAGACTGGGTGAGGAAAAAAAAGCAAAGAGTGTAACAAGAGCAAGTTTCTGAGGTGAGGAAACGAGTCCTTATCTTTTTCTTTTAATCCTTCTAGAACCCTTAACCTGAGGGCATGAGAATAATGCTTTTCCTTCTACCTATTTCTCTTCTTGAATATAATTATGCCAGAATTCAGCCTTGCTCTGACAAAGTTTTGTTGGATGGGGTTTGTGGCTCGCGGCCATGAATTTTGTGGGTGCAACTTAACTGTATGGACTTGAAAATGACCTACTGTAGAGAGAGGAATTGAATTGAAGGGAACATGATGCTGCTTTGTGATTGTTCATAAGATGTAAGGTATAATAAGCAAAGAACATGTCTAAGCTTTGAAACCAAATCAAAACAGCTTGGAGAAGCTGGACATTTTTCTCTCAGTTTCCTTGCATACTGGTAGTTGAAAATAAGAAATAACAAATAAGATTTATTTGGTATGTTCCACATCCATATAAACCAGAAGTTATCAGGTGTGGAACAGATTTCTGAAGACAGGAGAAATAATGGGGCCCTTCCTAAGGATAGCAAACATTTACTCATGTAGGTAACTTGGGGTCCTTCTGGCACAGCCTTATATCCCAGACTATCAAGGAAGAAAATCCCACATTATCTGAGTGGACTCTGATAACCCAGTTCAAAGCAGATTGTGAGATTTTCTGCCTTGATATTCTGGGATATAGGGATGTGTGGAAGGGCCCTTAGTCTGCATTGGTTACTTTCATTCTAAGCCCCAAGGGAAGATAAGCCAAAGGAGCAAGGCAGTCTTAGATTATGTATGTGGTATAGAATTTGGAGGATGGGACATCTTGAAAGGAAAGAGTAAATACATAGTAGAGGGAATGTGACTTGGTATACAGCTGACAGTGTGATAACTGATGGCATAGAATAACCTGTCTAGGACCCCACTGGTAGAAGACAGGTTGGTGCTCTTCCTACTGGTTTAAACCAGGTCAGAAAAAGTATTAGGCCTAGGCAAGAGCCAGGCCAGAGTTCACTTGTTTTTTAGCAGCAACTGGTGTCATCTTGTCACCATGTCATCTTGCCCATGTTTCATGTAAGTTATAAACACCTTAGGGAAAGCCTCTTAATCCAAGTGTGTTGGATGCCTTTTTTTTATAGCTGCAGGTCATTTTATAGCATACGCACTGGACAAAGGGGGATGAAGGATGGCAGGTTTTTATTGAAGTGTCCTGCTACTGTGGGTTGTGTTCTTGTGTGTCTGTGAAAATACCTTTTGTGTTTATTTCTTGCATGCAAAATTGCACCTTTGCTTCCATGCTCTTAGCTGTTCACAGCTCTTACCCATGGCAAGGCAGAACCAAATATATGTCATCTATTTAGGAAAAGGTATTGGGTCCAACCCCCCAAAAATAAAGCATTATCTGCCCCACTAGGATGTTTAGCATTACACCTGCATTGTGCAGAGAGCTGTTTTTTATCTGTTCATTCTTAGGGGATCTCCCTATTCAGTAGCATACAGAAACTATGATATCTTTTTCAGTGAGACATCCACCCTTTTCCTATGGATGTGCTAATCTATTCATGCTCGGTTCTTAATAGTTACAAGCAGGTAGTGATAGGTATGTGTATGAAAACAACAGGTTGGACGTGAGATTGGGAGAGCCACTGAAATACTGTGTCGCCTGTTTCAATAGGATATTTTTCCTTTTACTGTTGCATAAGTTAGTCCTTCTTGGATAAATGAAGGGTGTGCTGTCTTATAGCCCCACTGTTATAAAATAGATTGTATCAGATGTCCATTTTCTGGACATCAAGTTCCCGTGTCTGCTTCTTATGTTTAGGGGAAATTAATTGCTTTGTAATGGTCTTTTGCAGTCTGCCTTTCCAGTAGTATGCAAATGTATGGATAAACAAATTGGGGAGCAACAGATAAAAAAATAAAATGCTGAATATTTCTTCTGCTGGGCAGTTGTTAGAGTTGTGGAGCAAATTGAGAAAGGTCACGGGCTTGGGTGAGTAAATGGAAAAGGCCCAGAATGCATTTTTCACTAAGTGCTCAGAGTTTCACTGTATGACCCATCATGTTGCTATTCTCCCTTGCCACTTGCCCTGAAGTCTTGCACTGTTTTGCCTGGCGCATCCCATGCTCCAGTCTTGCTTGCTTTGCTGCTTTTTTGACTGTCCACTAAGGGTGCAAGAACTGGGATCTTATTTTCTTATTGTAAGTTTATGTTCTGTGTATATAAATAATCCTCCACTTAATCTGTGACAGTTTTGTGTTAAACAAAGGCGCCATGAGCCAATAGTGTAAACAGAGTTCTGAGAGCTGAGAACTGGGATTGCCAGAATCTTCTGATCTGCAGGCTATATAGCTTCAGTTTGGAGATTACTTGCTCTTCTAGCCAACACAATAATTACATTGGAAGCAGAGGTGGAGCTGCTTTGGGAAATGGTTCTAAATGTTTGTAAACAGTCGTCTTATTATTTTCCCGGGATAAATGTTAGTTTTTGAATGATTCAGGTTTAGAGGACCCATAGAAATGAAGCTTAGGATAAGAATATTCTCCTCCCCCATATGGCTTCATCTCCTACAACTACAACTACCTTTAGTTGTGTTTTAATCTTCCCTGCTTTCTCTCCTGCCCCACTTGAGAGGTATGTTGGTCGTAACAGTATTTTTTGGATACTTCTGACTGGTAAATGCATAGTTTATGATAGCATCAAAAGCTTGAATCGACCTGTTGGTCCCTTGAGCCCAATCTTGGCTGTTCTGATAGACAGCACTTTCCCCAGAGATATAGATTTTTCCCAGTCCCTTTTAAGTAAATGGTTCTAGTTACTTGTTACTATGTTGCATGCAACACATATGGTTCACAGTTGAGCTTATCATCTTCCAATTGGCATTTAAAAAAAATCAGTTTCAGGTCCTTATGAATGATTAGATGCACCACCTCTAACTCAACCAAAGGATTTCCCTTATTATATGTAGGAAAATGCCATGTATCTGTATAGTCTGACAAAATACTAGTACATAGCATAGGACCAAGCCTGTTGTAAATTCTGCAAATATGGCATTTGTAAAAGTTAGAAATTCACCATTATGAGAAGATTTTTTAAATGAAAATATATCTAACTCATATGGCTGCTAAGATAGGCTTGCAAACATAGGAGCAATGCCTAGCCAAAAAATTAATAAACCTAGAATGGAGCTGAAGCAAGCTTTCTGTTGTTAGTGATATCACTCTAGTATATTAGTCATGTTAGACAGCAAAGTTCCTCTTGCACCTATTAGTATCTAGTAGAAGAAAAATAACTTACACAAGCTAAAAAAATATGCAGATGACCTTAACTTGAATAACATATGCATAGTGCATGCAAGATTTGTGTTTGCATGTTGCAAAGTTACATATAATTTTTGAACCACCAAATGCACTGTTAATGGAAGCATTGTGGTCTCAGGTGTGCCTCAGTACGGAAACAGTTGATAGGCTCAGGTCAGTAGTTCATCTCTATCCTATTGCTGGCTCCATATTGCTGACACATATGGATGCTACTAGTGCAGCAGGACAGAGCCTGAAGACTAGGGCTAACTGTTGGTCATAGCTAGAGTAGACACAATGGATACCAATTATGTTAGTGTTGAGTTTTCATTCAACACTTGCTTCAATGAGTTTGCTCTGTGGAACTAGAAATAAGATTCAGGCCTCATAGTAAGCTTCTTGTCAGATGGCGGTTTTTCCAGCCACTACATAGAGTCCACACTGCTCAATTTTGGTGCCTTTGGCTGCTAAGCTCTTGAGTCTACTACACTGCCTTTTCTCTTTTTCAAATGCTGTGAGGTAAGAGAAATGTCTGTCTATATTTCTTCCTTTTGTGCACCACTAGATGAAACTGTCAAGGGCTTCTTGACAAGGAAGAGGCATGCTCAAGTGATGCTTAGATCCTGACAGTTTTGTGTCAGTTTTCCTAAGGGATGTTCCATATCTAGTCCTGGCCCTGAAGGAATGTAGTAGGCATCTGAAGAGAGGTTGCTTGTGAAGATGGGAGAAAGCTGTTGTGCTATTTCAGTTGCTCACTACGATGGAGATTCAGCTAATGGAAGCAAGAGGAAGAAGATATATCAGATGAATATGTGGAGCAGGGTGATAAGGGAAAACAAAAAAACACAAACTCTAAAAGGAGATTTCGCTTTACAATAGTCAATAAAAGCTATGTGGTTGGACCTACAATGTAGATAGAGATGTTTTGCAGATTTAATTAAATGTTTCCTTTGGTTGGATTCATTCAGTTCCTGAATCCAGTGTGCTGAAAATTGATTCCTGCTTTGCGTGGCACTTAAGAAATATAAGCACATGCTTTAAAAAATACAGCACTCTCATATCAGGGCCTACCTATAGTGTGAGTCATTTTAAATCCTCCCCTTGTTTTTTATCTAAATGTTTGTTTCAGGCTATCAGAGAATCATAATTCCATGCTATGTTGTGAGGCACAAAAATAACTTAATTGACTTTTGCCCTTTAGCGTAGCAGGAATATTTATTACTCCGAGGGCAAGTGAGATTCTGATGAGGCTGTAGCCATTTCTTGGAAGACAGCCAATGATATGCTACATTCTTGAGTACTGAAACAACATAGGGAAACTCTTTTATGTTGGATATATACAGTAGTACATTAAAAAGCAGCTCTGTTATAGTAGGATTTTTCCACTGAGCCAAGCAAACATAATAAAGAATCAATATTTCTGAGGATGCTGCTGGTAGCACATATAACTAATGGTAAATTGCTCTGCTTTGGTGTTAGACCCTTTTTAGAAATAAGATAGATGTCTTCTGTAAACTGGTGGTAATAATGTGATTTTAATTTTGGGGATACCTTTTTATCCATAGGAATAAAATTGAAAGAATGGGGAAGAAACAGGGCAGATTTAAAAGCTGGGTAAAGGGGAGAGAGGTGAATATTTTCTAAGGTGAATTTCACAAGAGCAAATGGTTGTCAGACTCCTACCAGAATCAGCGTTGCTTCATGGTGGTGACTGCTACCACCCTGGAGAAAATAGATCTGATAATGGCTTTCATGGAGTTTCTGGTACTTATTTCCCCTCCCTAAAACCTTCTACTTTCTGCCCAAACCATTTGAAACACCATGCTGGTTCAGTTCTCTTGAAGAAAAGCTTCTCATTTCCACATGGATCATTTCAAGGAGGTACAGAATTGGCGCTTGCTTCTCCTTTTGCATTCACCCTTGCACTTGCCAAGTGCCAGGCCTCAGCCTTGCCATATCTAATGCTGATGGTTTGTTGCCCTTATTGATGTAGAAAGGCTTTCTGAGGGGAAGATGGCACTCACTTTGGCCTTATCAAACCTCTGATGTACGAGTGCTTCGTTGTAAGGCTGTGCATGTAGTTTTTGCAAAGTTGAGGCCAGGTGTTAAATTCTGTAAAAGAGTGAGCTGAAGTTGTTGTGTTCTAGCCTCATGGCATATACAAAGTATACTTTGAAAACCAATAGCTTAAATATATATCTGGTAACTTTTTATTTTGGAAAATATGCATTTAAAGAAATAATTGTGCACGAATGAAGTGTTATGTATTTTTTTTGTCTTATAATTCTTCATTTTTAAATATAGTGTTTGCATTTGCTTGGTTGCTTTTAAAAATCCAGTTCTCAGCTGGCTAAACTTTCCAGAGTGGGTGGATGTGAAGTGTTGCGGGGCAGGTGATTCAATCACCCTGTTCTGTCAGCATTTCTCTCAGAAAAGTGGGTTGCTCCTGGTTTGTGAGGTGTTAATTACTCTTGTATCCTTGTACATTTTGTTCTTTCTGCTGCTCTTGAGTATTGTATCAATGCCAGAAATGGGGAGTTAAAAGATGTACCCCAATAAATTGTTACATTCCAAAACCTCTTGCCTCTGGTGTATGTGTTTTATTTGATTCCCTCCCCCAATAAAATGTGAATTCAGGTTAAACAGTCCTGTAATGAGCTGCATCTCCTGACTTGTTGTTCAATTTATAAGACCGGCTTCCTACTGCCTTCTTCTTTATGTTACAGTTCAGAAATATATGTGACTTCTTCATATGAACACAGAAAAGTCTTGCGCATACAGGTATCTTACTTACTTAAATGCCAGATACCTTTTTCTGATCTATTTTGAAATTTAGATCTGCTTCTTATTTTGCTTTACAAGTCTTCGGAGCACAACTAGGGCTCTTCGTTTTGCCATGTGCTGCCCTGTCACTTTGCACTGAAGGAGGACCTAAGTTCCAGGAATATTAGAGAGCTTGGCTACTGGAAGTGAAAAAAACATGAGCACATTTCTTATCTTTGGGTAAATTTCCTTCCAGTAATTACTGCAAGATGCCAAGATGCATTAGAAGCTCACGTCTTCGGCTGCTCTTGGCAGCAATTCTTTTCAAGAATTGCTGCCTTTTATATTCTAGAACACAGTGCTGTTTGTTCCATGTTCACATCATCTGAAGCTATGGAGGTTGAGTTTCTATTCTTTAAATAAAGGAATAGGTACATTTAATAGGTACATGTAGGGAACGTGTAAGTACATTAATAGCTCCAAAACGGTCTCCTGATGTGGTAAGATTGGGTACCCAGGATGGCGATACCTCCAGGCTAAAGGTGGTGCTGTTGAACGCCAGGTCTGTCAATGGAAAAACATCTTTCATCCAGGACTTAATCCCGGATGAGCAGGCAGACCTGGCATGCATTACAGGGACCTGGTTGGATGAGGCTGGAGGCGTAAATCTAACCCAGCTTTGTCCACCAGGCTTCTCCGTACAGAACCAGCCAAGACCTGGTGGGTGGGGAGGCAGGGTCGCAGTGGTCTATAGGGATTCTATCTCTGTGACCAGGTGTCCCATCCTGCAGTCAAATATTTTTGAATGTGTCCACCTGAGGGTAGGTGATTGGGACAGAATAGGGATTCTGCTAGTGTAGCGTCTACCCCGCTGCACTACAGTCTCCCTACCTGAGCTAGCTGGGATAGTCTCGAACCAAATGCTAATTGTGCTGGGGGACTTCAACATCCTAACAGGAGCGGATAAGGACTTCATGTCTTCCATGGCAACCATGGGGCTGTCCCAATTGCTATCTGGCCCTACTCACAGTGCTGGACTCACATTAGACTTGGTTTTCTGTCAGGGAGGTGATGACGGTGGTGTTGTAGAGGAGCATACCATCGCTCCGTTGCCATGGACCGACCATCACCTGGTCAGGTTTAGACTTACTGCACCCATCCTTGCTGTTAAAGGAAGCCAGAGGGGGATTGGCCGAGTGGGTGAAGGTCGTGGTGAACGTCTCTCTTCAGGAAGGCCATATTCCAGCGAGCTTAAAATAAGCTATAGTAAAACCGCTGTTGAAAAAACAATCACTGGACCCCCCTCAATTCGACAACTTTTGGCCTGTTTCCAATCTTCCCTTTTTGGGCAAAATCCTAGAATGTGGGGTGGCCTCACAATACCAGGTATTCTTGGAAGACACGGATTATCTGGACCCGGCACAGTCTGGCTTTAGGCCGGGACATGGAACCGAGACAGCCTTGGTTGCCTTAGTGGATGATCTACGCCGGGACCTAGACAGAGGGAGTGTGCCCCTGTTAGTTCTGCTGGACCTCTCAGTGGCCTTTGATACCATCGACCACAGTATCCTTCTGGGATGCCTTGCGGGAATGGGCCTTGGAGGTACTGCTTTGCAGTAGCTCTGGGCCTTCCTAGAGGGCCGCTCTCAGAAGGTGTCATTGGGGGACTCCTGTTCAACCCCACAACCATTGTCTTGTGGGGCTCCTCAGGGCTCAATACTGTCTCCCATGTTGTTTAACATCTACATGAAGCCGCTGGAGGAGATCATCCAGAGTTTTGGGGTGCGGTGTCATCTGTACGTAGATGACATCCAACTCTCACTCCTTCCCACCTGCTACTAAGGAGGCTGTTCACGTCCTGAACCAGTGCTTGGCTGCTGTGACGGTCTGGATGGGGGTGAACAAATTGAAATTGAATCCAGACAAGACAGGTACTCCTGGTCAGTCGTGAGGCCGAACAGGGCATAGGGTTACTGCCTGTGCTAGACAGGGTTACACTCACCCTGAAGGCACAGGTTCGCAGCTTGGGTGTGATTTTGGCGGTGACCAGGGGAGCATTTGCACAGTTAAAACTTGTGCGCTAGCTGCGCCCGTACTTTGGGAAGTGTCACTTGGCCACGGTAGTCCACGCTCTGGTTACATCCTGTATAGACTACTGCAATGCGCCTTACATGGGGTTGCCTTTGAAGACTGTTCGGAGGTTCCAAATGGTGCAATGGGCAACGGCCAGGTTGTTAACAGGAGCGGTGCTCAAAGAGCATACAACCCCTCTGTTGTGCCAGCTCCACTGGCAGCCAATTTGCTTCCGGGCATAATTCAAAGTGCTGGCTTAAGCCTATAAAGCTCTAAACGGTTTTGGTCAAACTTAGTGTTTTAATAGTATTTTATGATTGTTTAATTGTAACTGTTTTGGCATTGAATTGCTGCCTATTGTTAACCTCTCCCTTCCCAAATAAATTGATTTAGCAGGCTTCAAAAACAGGTTATATTCTGCTGTTCAATGTATATTTAGTAATAGTAACCCCAACTGTTTCCCAGGTTAACTCACCTTCTCTCCACTAACTGCCTTATGCCCACTATTTCACCTCTGTGTATTTAGATGACCAATTTCATCGCTTTGCTTTTCTGCCTCCAGTTTCTCCAGAAGTTGGCAGCAGGACGTACTGAGTGGCTGTTAATTACAGGCAGCCTTTTGACAGAAATCCTTTAATCTCTCATTTGGTTGATTCTCAAAGCTGCTGTTAAACCAACATCTGTTCTCCTTGCTATTGCGTTTACGGTAATTTTCTTTTGAAGGAGCAGTGTGGTGGATGGAGATGAACTATAGAGCAATGAGCCTGTCTATTTCAAATCAAGAGAATAATAGGATGGCCATGCCAAATGGAGCTCAGGGACTATTAAGGATTTCCCAGATTCAGTGTTGCAGTTTAAGTAGTTAGCTTTGAAAACAGGAGTATGTGCCTGAATCCAATTCTTGGAGTAAACCCATTGAATCAATTGCAGGAGCCCCCGGTGGCGCGATGGGTTAAACCCTTGCACCGACAGCATTGATGTCCAACAGATCAGAGGTTCGAATCTGGGGAGAGCACAGGTGAGCTCCCTCTGTCAGCTCCAGATTTCCATGCAGGGACATGAGAGAAGCCTCTCACAAGGATGGTAAAACATCAGAACATCTGGGTGTCCCCTGGGCAATGTCCTTGCAGACAGCCAATTCCCTAACATCAGAAGTGACTTGCAGTTTTTCAAGTTGCTCCTGATATATATATAAAAAAATTGCAGCATGGCAAATCAACACTTATGTAAATCTTGCTAATTCAATTTTCCTGTACTTAATACGGAACACATTTTCTGGTGCTGCAAAAGCTTCACAGCCTACCGGTCTGTTTTCAGCATAATTCAAAGTGATATTGTAAGTGATATTATAACCTTGTGTGGCTTGGTTTTAGGGTGTCTGAAAAGCCATATGTTACTACATGAGCCGGTCCAAGTTCTAAGATCCTCAAGGGAGAAAGTTCTCTTGGTTTCCATACAGCCTGGAAAACTCATAGCGACCCAATCATTACTGTATTTCCGTTTGTGATGAAACCACATTTTAACTATTAAAAATTCTTCCAGACTCATTAGCTTTCATCTAGTCATCTAGTCATCTAGTACTCATTTGTGGCGGAGATTGGCAACTTTTTTTCTAAAGTAAATTTATCATTTGGTATATTTCCAATCTTGCTTTTAATTTCATTAAGTGAAGTTGACAAATCTCATATCCCACAGAGTAAAAAGCAGACTGTAAGAAGTGGGGAGAGAATGAATCGTGAACAAAATTAAATTGAATGGTGAACAATATTTAAAACATTGCTGAAAAATTGATTGATATTTAGAGGGCCACCCCATGATTGTTCCCATCATTGGGTGCATCTATGGTGTAAAATCAATGCAGTTTGACACCACTTTTACTGGCATGGCTCAATGCTATGGAATCACAGGAGTTGTACTTTGACAAGGGTTTTTTTGGGATTTTTTTTTTTTTTGCCTTCTCTACCAAAGAGATCTGGTTCTTCATCAAGGTACAAGTCCCAGGATTCCACAGTATACAGCCATGGTAGTTGAAGTGATGACAAATTGTATTAATTCTACAACATAGATTCACTCTCAGACTGCCTGCGAAATTGTTCCTTTTAAAAGATGGGATGATTTCCCCTACCCTGCTTTGACTTTCCATCAGAAGGAGAAATATTCAAAGATTATAGGAAAAATCAGATTCTATGGTCTCATCTTAGGGCAGTGTTTCTCAACCTGGGGGTTGGGACTCCTGGGGGGTGTCATGAGGGGGTGTCAGAGGGGTCACCAAAGACTATCAGAAAACACAATATTTTCTGTTGGTCATCGGGGTTCTGTGTAGGAAGTTTGGCCCTATACTATTGCTGGTGAGGTTCAGAATGCTCTTAGATTGTAAATGAACTATAAATCCCAGCAAATAGGTTGTTTGAGAGTATACAACCCTACTATGTTGTTGTTCATTCGTTCAGTCGTCTCCGACTCTTCGTGACCTCATGGACCAGCCCACGCCAGAGCTCCCTGTCGGCCGTCACTACCCCCAGCTCCTTCAAGGTCAGTCCAGTCACTTCAAGGATGCCATCCATCCATCTTGCCCTTGGTCGGCCCTCTTCCTTTTACCTTCCACTTTCCCCAGCATCATTGTCTTCTCCAGGCTTTGCTGTCTCCTCATGATGTGGCCAAAGTACTTCAACTTTGTCTCTAGTCTCCTTCCCTCCAATAAGCAGTCGGGCTTTATTTTCTGGAGGATGGACTGGTTGGA